TGCCGCTGAGCTAAATCCCCAGCCCCATTATTTGTTGACTCTGTTTTGGCTTTTGTTTGTTTGTTTGTTTTTTGTCTTTTTGAGACAGGGTCTCACTATGCAGCTCAGGCTAGTCTTGAACTCACCTTGTAGCCCAGGCTGGCCTTCAACTCACTTTGTAGCCCAGGCTGGTCTCAAACTCGCAACAATCTTCCTGCCTCAGCTTCCCAAGTGCTGGGATTACAGGCATGCACCACCATGCCCGGCCTTACTCGTTGAATCTGGGTGGTGGCTATAATTCAGCCTGGCTGGATTAAAGAATACATAGCAACCAGAAAAAGCATTATTTGAGGTGTGTCTGTGGCAGCTTTTCCAGAGAGGTCAGCATGAGTCTGAGTGGGTAGGTAGGGGCAGCCACTCTAATTACGGGTGGCACCATCCAACCCGATGAAAGCCTGAAGAGAATAGATACAGAATGTGAATGTGTCATTCTCAAAGCTGGAATCTGCTCATTTCCTGCCTTGGACATCAGGGCTCCAAGCTTTCTGGCCTTTGGGCTGCAAGTCTTACACCCAGAGGCCTCTTTACCACCTCCCCAGGCCTGTGACCTGGAACTGCGTGTTACTCCATCAACTCCCCTGTCTCTGAGGCCTTTCTTGGCACTGCGGCTGAGCCACGCTACTGGCTTCCCAGGGTCTCTGGCTGCAGCTGACCTGTCGTGGGACTTCTCAGTTGCCATAATCACATGAGCCCATTCCCCTAATAAAATTCGCTTCTTGGGTATCTATCCCCTCGGGTGTCTATTGGTTCTGTCTCTCCAGAGAACTCTAATGTACTGCTTTAGAGCATGCTTGAATATATTCACAATCATATGTTTAAGACACACAGCAACACTAGTCACCAGGAAAATGCAAATCAAGCCCACAGTGAGATACTGTACCTTGCACCCATCATGACAGCTATCAAAAAAAAGTAAAAATAGCAAGAAATGGTGGGGATATGGAGAAACTGAAGCTCCTGTAAATTGTTGGTGGGAATGCAAAATGGTACAGCCACTGTGGAAAATATAATGGCAGTTCCTCAAAAAGTAAAAATAGAGTTACTATGCAATCCAGCAATTCCACCTCTGAATGTAGCCACAAAAGAATTGAAAGCAGGAACTTTGAGAGATATGTACTTGCATAGCAGTATAATTCACGTCAGCCAAAAGGCAGAAACAACCCAAGTGTCCATTGACAGATGAAAGGGGAAACCAGATATGCTCTCTCCATAAAATGGAATATTATTTTGTCTGTAAAAGGAAGAAAATTCTGACACATTTAATAACATGAAAGAGCCTTGAGGACCTTCTGCCAAGTGAAGCAAGCCAATCACAAAATGACAAATACTGAGTGACTCCACTTACATGAAATAATCTAGAGCAGTCAAGTTCATAAAGACTGAAAGCGGAATGACGGTTGCCAGGGGCTGGGGAGGGGAACAAAGAGCAGTTATTTTGTGGGAACTGAGCTACGGTTTCCCAAGCTGAAGTTCTGGACGTTGGTTGCACAGCATTGTGAATGTCCTTGACACTACTGCACACTTAAAAATGGTTAAGACATTGAAAGTTCTATGCATTTTACCACAATTTCCTCAAAAAGAAAATGCACAGCCACACAAACCAAAGTGAACCATGAGGCAGATTTATGTGTCTGTATGAAAGTTCTCCAACAGCAATCTTTACTTGAAAGAAGGCAAACAGAGCACAGTGGCTACACAGACACATGGAAAATAACTCACAGGGTATTGAGCAGTGGTTTTATCTGGGGAAGGAAACTAGGGTACCTGGGAAATAGGAAGTTTGTATTTTCTCCCTTTATGTTGTTTGAACTTTGTGTGTGTGGTATTCAGAATTGAGAATGGGGTCTTCAAATTGAACTACATGCCAGTCCTGTAAAAAAAAACTTTTTTTGAGACAAGGTTGCACTAAGTTATTGAGAAGGGGCTTGAACTTGCAATCCTCCTACATGATTTCAGTAATCAAATGAAGCTAATTTTTTTTCATGCAGCTTCAATCCCGGCAACTGCAATCCCTGCAAGTAACCATCACCAGTCCCAGCTGGTTCACAGTGCCTGTGAAGGAGGCCTGTTGCTGGCCCCGGGACATCACAGTGGAAAGATTATGGAGACTAAGCCTGAGCATGAAGCCCCTTGAGACCTCACTGGAACTTGAACTGTTTGTGTAAAGGAAGAGTTTGGGGATAGAAGCAAGGACTGAGGAAGGAGGAACCACTAGGGCAGCTGCATCCCATCTGAGGCACAGCAAAATGGAATAATAATCCTGGACTCTGTCCTAACCATTGTGCGATACTATGGTAACTCTCCAGATATGACTCAGGATTCCACTGGACAGAAGTAATAGAAACCCACATCAGCAAGCTGAAGCATAAAAAGAAATGTAGTAAATCATGACATTGAAAAGTCCACAAGTTCTGCTTCAAGTCAAGCTGGATCTAGGTGCTCAAGTGATGTGTGGAATCCACCTCCACTCTTTTGCCCCAGGTAGGCTGTATCACCAAGCAGAGCACAAAAAATGGTCCCCAGACTTAGGTTCTACCAGCCTGTCCTTTTTTTTTTTTTTTTTTTTTTATTTTTGGTTTTTTTTCTGGTACAGGGAATCAAACTCATGACCTTGCACTTGCCAGGCAGGTGCTGTGCCGCTGAGCTAAATCCCCAGCCCGGTTCTACCAGCCTGTACTCCCACCGAGCAGCAGAGACTCCGTCCAGCCAAACATCCAAGATTGGGTCTCATAGGCTGTGAGTGAGTTTATCTTTGTTTCTGAGCCAATCCCTGTGATTTGAAGGAGATGACATCAATTATACAGCTCTGAGAATTGAGAGTAAAGGAGGGAAAACTCCCCGAAAGGAAATGAAGTGACAATTTCCAAAGTATAGATAATGGCTCCTGGGCAGCCACAAACACTAGCAGTCTCTCCAAAGCATAAGTGCTTATAATTCTGTGATGCAGGGTCAGACAGGGTGAGAGGGAGGTTACTATTATATGGAATTCTACTCTGTCATATGCATGGCATTTTCCACAACCAAGATGAGAGCCAGATGCACAGAGAAGTTGGCAGGATGTCACCACTGGGTCCAATCTCACACATGTGTCCTGGGCTCAGAAGAAACCAAAGATTATGAGTTTGCAGCCACAGGATCTGAATTCCCTCCCAGGTTCTGATACTTACCAGCCACGTAGCCTTGGAAAGAAAGATACTGTCCTCTGCCTCAGTTCCTTCATCTGGAAGATGGGAATAATAAAATGTCACTGGTAGAACTGCAAGTAAGGATTGTAAGAGGCATGTGGGGACCTGACACCACATTGGCGTGTGTCGGAACACAGGGGCTCCATCGAGGTGCCGCACTCCTGGAAAGGGGTTTGGGTATCTGAACTGAGTGAGGACCACAGGACCTTCCAAAAACAGAATCAAGTTTTATCGTGTACAGGTACAAATTCCCTCTAATGGATGCAGTCATTATGTATACCTCAAATGTATCAATAAACTTAATTAAAGAAAGCAATTCTTTTTTTTTCTTCAGTGGCTGGCAGACTTTAACAAAAAAAAATGAAACAAAAGCCAATGCTGGGGCTTTCTGAAACCTTCCCCAAGGCACATGACTGCAGCAATGAAAATTCAAGGAGAACCAGCACAGCCAGGCCCATTGATGGCAAAGATTAGCTCACAAGTTCCCAGGGCTGGGTCCTACTGAGGCTTCCTTGAGATAGTGAGTCTGAAAGCAGGACGCAGGAAGCTGCTTGTTGCTGCAGTACCTGGTACAAAGGCTTGCACAACTCTGAACTCAGTGCTCAGCCCTTGCAAAACACCAGACTAATGGTTCCCAAAATGGGTACCGCAGGATCCACAGCCCTAAAGGCCCTAATATACGTGCGGTACTTTTTGGGTGATTTGAATTCTGGAGAGGATCAGTATTAACATATCCAGAAAGACTCTTCTCGTGCAAATCTTAAAATAATGCAAATCACGCCATTAATATATCCCCATTGTATCTAGAATTGCATAATTCCCAACCTGCCATCTGAATGAGTTGTAGCTACTGGACTGCCCACATCAGCATCACTGCAAAAAATAATCACACCCGTCCTTGATCTGAGCTGCAAGAACTAGGTCTTGAATTATTCAAGTTGTGAATGATCAAGGAACTGGAAGGATAGGCCCAGGCCTGGGCTATAACCCCTGACCTAAGAACAAGCTGCTCTGCTCATCCAGGACCTTAGCATGCAGCTGGCACACCATCAAGCTTTGCAGGAGGGAGGGCAAGAGAGACAATGGCTTAAAGCAGGGGCAACCAACTGCAGCTCACAGGCCAAATCCAGCCCACTCTAACTCTTGCAACTAAAGCTTGATCAGAACACTGATTTAGGTATTATCCATCACGGCTGTGACAGGACAACAGCCAAGGTGAGTCGCTGCAGCAGGAACCATTTAGCCTGCAAGGCCACAAATGCTCCTTTACAGAAAAATTTGCCACCCTTTGCTTTAAAATAAAGTCAGCAGGCTTTTGAGTGCAGGACTTCTCCTAGGATTTCAAGCTATTTATTGGGCAATGTGAATGTATGTGAGAGAAATTTCCCAAACTCATCAGATGACAAAGCCTCTCTTCCCCGGGGCACCTCACAGAGCCTGGTGTCCACAGAGCACTGGCCACATGGGTTTTGTGTAATCTGAACAGGGTGTCTTAGAACAGAGCTTAGGGTGCCCACAGGAGCCCCCAGGCTGGGTGACCCAGAGGAGGGGTCTGTGGTGCCTGGGCCACACATTCTTCCTGCTTCACACAGCCAGAAGCTCCAGGACCCCTCAGTCTGTGCCCACCACACTTCAGCCCCTCCCCTGAAGTCTGCAGGAAAATGTAGTCGGAGCTTCTTGCTTGGAAAATGACCACATGCGTGTCCTATGGGACCAAGCTTGGCCCTCAGGATCAGCCCTCCTGCTGTGGAGCGGGAGGCTGCAGAACTGGAGCCATTCCCCAAAAGCACCCTGAGAACATGAGTCCTCACTCCTTTACAGAAGCAAAGAGGAAGGAGAGGCAAGCTGCATCTCTACACACTCAACATTACCTGCCCTGCCCGGATCTCAGCCCTGGCTCCCCTGGCTCCAGGGTGCAGAGCTGGCCATGGACCAGCCTGGCAAAAGGAAGGAGCTGCTCCTCCTCTGGCTCAGGCCCCAGGCACTCAGGGCACCTCACTGCCACAGAAACCATACCCTACTGTGATGACTGCCAGTGTCTGGCCATTCATGTCCCACCTCTGGGCGGGAACAGTGCTATAGGAGCCCCCAGCTACCCTGAGCACAAGATTGGAAAAGTCAGTCTCTGCTCCGCAAGACTCACCAGCCCACATATGGGTAATCACAGAACAAGCAAAGCTCTATGAACAAAGAAGACACAGAAAGGCCTCTTCTGATGGGCCTGGGCAGAGTATGGACGAGGAAACAGCAAGGACTCAAAGATGTCACAAAAAGTAGGCACAACCCACCCCCAGGGCAGGGAGCAGAAAAGCTCGGAGTACAGTGGAGGAGAGCTGTGTTCGATGTCTGCTGTCACCCATCAGGAAAGCTTCTGTGGGTGGGCAGCTTCACTGGGACCAGGTGGCAGCAAAGCAGCCTGGGATGGCAGGAGAGGCATCTGCCATCAGCAGGTTCCATCAAAAACCTCTGCAATGGCTGCAGCAGGACAAGAGCTGGGAGCTCATGGGAAACCTCACTATTCACCCCACGTGCACAAGAAATAACCCTAACACCAACTGTGTCAGTACATGGTATACCGCATGTGCATGGCTGCGTTTTCTCCTACCAACAGCTTTATGAGCTGGATGCTATAATTAGCCCCATTTTCCTAAGAAGCTGAAGTTCAGAGAGGTTAAGTAACTTGCCTGGGGTCGCACAGTGAAGAAGTAGCAAGGCCAGGGGCTTCAGTCCAATCTCTTCCTTACCCACGCTTTCTTAACCTCTGGTGAGGGTGGGGGGATTCCCAGCACATGGGCTGTGAGCTGCACTTGAAGGCAACTGCTGAGTCATTTCCTCCCCCAGCCTCAACCACAGGTTGCATTAGCTGTCAGGAAGGGCCCAGCCAGGCCCCGGCTGTGGTGGCCCTCAACCAGAAACCAATATCAGCATGTCTCTAGCTCCACCACCTGGCACATAGTAGGTGTTCAGCAAATAACCACAGAACAGAAAATGGTCATAAAGCTGTTTCCAAATGACTGAAACACACTCCATGGAAACCAGCTTGTCTCTTTAATCTGTGTTGGAAGAGAAAATGAAGCTCTCCAAATATTTGCACAACTATAATCCATCTTGAAATTGAAACGTGTTTCCCTAAATTACCCACTGCATCGGGTTTCGAAGAAGTTCTATTCTTGTAGACTTGAGCTACGAAGTGGAAAATGTCAAATCTTGACAGTAAAAAGGAGAGAGGCCTCAAGAATGCCCCAAAGACTGTGGCCGACCCTGACAGTTCCCCACCCCAAACAAGGTCAGGCGGGAGATGGTGCATCCTTCCTCTGAGGTGGTGGAGCTCACCGTGTGGCCTTGTCTTCTCCATAGTTGATCATTCTTTCCTCTAATGCAAGAATTGATGCAATAAATCTCATGACTATTGATGGTCTCACTACTGTGGTGTGGGGTTATTGGCAAAGGATGAAGCATCTTATTTAAAGCCATCTGACTCCATATGTTAGATAGATTAAAGCTGGAAGACAGTTAGAAGGTACCCACTACCAAGTGAAGGTCTAGTCTTTAGAGAAGGGGCTTATGCAGGCCGGAGATGTAGCTCAACAGCACAAGCACTTGCCTGGCAAGCTTGAGGTCATGAGTTCGATTCCCTCTACAAAAAAAAAAAAAAATGGAGAAGGGGCTTATGAGTGATTTAGGTTTCAGAACACAAAAAGTAATATATCTCCAGGGGCTACAGCTGTTCTACTAGTTGGGACCATTTAGTCCAGCAACAGGGGTAGCAGTGGTGAGGGGGACAGGAGTGTGGTTGTGAAGCAAGGGCGAGCGAGTCCTCAGATTCTCCACAGGGTGTAGGAGAGGCCTGAGAGTAAGTGTGAACCTTAGGCTAGGACCAGGAGGAGATTAGAGACTTCTGTTTGCTAATCTAGCCACCTAGTTATTACCTTCCTTTGCTGACACTACTCCTGGCTCTGGTCAGCATTTTCCCTTAGTGACACTGCTACAGGCACCTCTAGGCCCAGAACTAGATCTGAAATCTCTGTCTCCCGTGCACATCCCGGAATATGACATGCACAGGTACTCAGACAAGGCAGTCAAATGGCAATAATCATTTGCAAAGGATCTGTCCTTAGAGATCTCTGGTACAAAGCCAAAAAACAAATATTTGGTTAGACTTAGGGGCAGGCTTACAGCAAGTTGTTTAGGAGCAAGATGTTCAGAAGGTATTATTTTTGGAGCAGTTTGCTGTTAGCTTCTATCATCCATGTTGAAAATTCTGCTTAAAGAAAAATACATGTTTCTGGCTCAGGGTCCAGTAACACCTGGTGAGTGCATGGGTTGTTTGGTATCTCAGGCTGTCAAGGAAAATTAGGTGGAGCAGAGAGAAGCACCACTCAGCGGAATAGGAGCTCTACCCTCCTGGGCAGCTTCCCCCTAGGGTTGATACTAAGTCCCACAGATTCCTTTGCACCGATGTCTGTGCCTCTTTTCTTTCAGTGATTCTGGGATCACTCATGGCCAGGCCCCAGGGTGGATGCAGAAACAGCTGCGACTCGGTTCCTGCCCAAGAGCTCAGTGCCTGGTAGAACCCATGGTTCCCACTCAGTGCCAGAATCTGTGACAGGGCCCAAGCTAGGGCCCAGCAAGGATGCTTCTGGAGTCTGCCAGGCCTGGAGTGACATCCAGGATCTCGGAAGGCATGACTTCAAGGCCATTCCTTTAAAAAAGCAACACTCTTCCTCTGCAGAGACTGATGAAAGTCCTCCACACCTAAGACACAATAAACAAGAGATGACTTTTTTTATTTTATTTTAAAGAGTAAAAGAAAGATAACATAATAATAGGGGGGCTTACCAAATTACAGACAAAGTGGTAGGAAATTATCAATGGTTATTGTTTTACATATTGTTATCTACAAGATAGTTTCTCAGGAAAACAAATACACAAATGATAGTGAGTTACAGACAAAAGAGGTAGGAGATTATCAATAGTTGTTGTACTATACTTTGGTATCTTCAAAGTGGCTTCTAAAGAAAATAAATAGAGCTA